ATTGTCTGGGCCAGTAGGGGGTGATCAGAATGACAGTTGCTCTGTCTCGCCTGATCTTGTGGAGTACTCAAGGTAAGAGTGGTACAGGAGGGAAGGCATACTGTAGTTGATTTGGTCTGACCAGGAGAATATGAGAGCATCACCCTGAGAGTGGTGGCTGAGACATCCCCTGGAGCAGTACTTGCTGCATTTGCTGTTTATGTGGGAGGTGAAAAGGTCTCTGGTTGGCATCCCCCATCAGCTGAAGATGTCGTGAACTACTGAGCCATGGAGCTCCCACTTGTGGTCAATTGCAAAATGCCTGCTGAGCAAGTTCGCAATCACTTTCGGTGTCCCTGGGAGACAGGCTGCGGAAAAGAGGATCTGGTGGGATGTGCACCAATTCCAGACATGGACTGCTTCTGCGCATAAAGCAGTTGATCTGATGCCCCCGTTTGTTGATGTAGAAAACAGTGATGGTGTTGTCTGACATGATAAGAACCTGACAGGAATGGATGAATGGGAGAAAGGCTTAACATGCTTTCCTTATAGCTCGGAGTTCCAGGATGTTGATGTGCATCCTGGATTCCCGAGGAGTCCACGTTCCCTGTGTCATGTGATCATCCATGTGCGCTCCCCAGCCTATGAGGGATATGTCAGTGATGACGGTCTTGTCTGGGGAGGGAGGGAACCCCTATGCAGACATGACGTGGGTCTGTCCACCACTGGAAAGGTGAGAATACCCTGTGGGGAACTGTGAGCATGAGGTCCATGGCATGAGGGTTGGGAGAGTAAACTGGAGGCAGCGAAGATGGAGCCAAGTGAAGGTGGTGACATATGTGCACAAGCCACGTGGCCAAGGAGTGACCAGCAAGTCCTGGCCGGCACATACAGATTGTTGACAATGAGAGTTCTGAGTTCTCACAGTGTCTGGAACCTGTCCCTTGGTAGCGAGGCCTGTGCTGTGACTGAGCTGATGGTGGCCCCTATAAAGTCCAGGGATTGTATGGGGCCAAAGGTCGATTTCTCGACATTGATACTGACCCGAGGGACGAAAGAAGGCCAAGCAACAGTGAAGTTGAAACTTGGGCTTCATGCCTGGACTATGTGGCTAAAAGCCAGTCATTGAGATATGGAAATACCAAGACCCAATAACATCTGATATACGCTGCTATGACAGAGAAAGCCTTGGTGAAGACTCTGGGAATGGTGGGGGTTATTCTGAAGGGGAGCACCCTGTATTGGAAATGGTGGCTGCCAATTGTCAATCTCAGGAAGCGCCCATGGGCTGGATGTATATTGATGTTAAAATAAGCATCTTGCATATAACATGCTTCTTCCTAGGGATGAGATGATCGCTGCCAGCATGATGATTTGAAACGGGCTTGCGAATGAAGCAGTTGAGATATTGGAGGTCCAGGATTGGTCTCCATTCGCCTTTCTTCTTGGGTGTCAGGAAGTAAGCTGACTAGAACCCTGTCCCTTGATATTCTGGGGGAATGCATTCTACCACTCACCTACCACTCCCCATTGTAGTAAGGAGTTCACCTCTTGGGTGAGGATGCTGTCGTGAGAGTGGTCCCTGAGGAAGGATCAAGAGGGGGGGGTTTAGAGGAGGTAGCGTGATGAATTCGATCATACAGCCATGATGGATGACATTCAGTACCCATTTGTCCATTGTTATCGCACTCTGAGCTTGGAAGAAGAGAGCTAGATGACCCTTGAAGAGGGTAGGGTGATCGTGAGGTGGTAGGCAAAGTGGTTGACAGCTCTTGAGATTGACTCAGAAATGTCTTTTAGCCAGGGGTGGAAGCTGTGAGGTAGAAGCCTGTGATGGGGGTCCCAGAGGGTGGGATCGCTGGGGTTTCTGTCGCTTCCTTGGTGGCTCGTAAGATCTCTGATAGTAAAACTGGGGGGACCTGTAGCGATGTGTGGGTGGCGGGTGGTGGAACTTAGACTTTGGGGCAGGCGAGCAAATGCCCAGCGAGTGAAGGGTGGTTCTGGAGTCCTTGGGGGTATGTAGGGAATCATCCATCTTTTGATTAAGAAGATGGGATTCATCAAAGGGGAGGTCTGCAACACTGTTTTGCACCTCCGGAGGGAAACCGGAAGAGTGGAACCAAGATTCCTTACGCACAACTTTGTTCATAGCCAGAGCCCTGGAAGAAGTATCTGCCGCATCCACCACCAATTGGAGCGCTATTCTGGCCACCAGCTTCCCTTCCTCAATCGCCTGGAAACAAGTCTGGTCCAGTTGTGTGAGTCCATCAGCAAATTCCTCCAGTTTGCTGTAATTCAGGAAGTCGTATTTGGCTAGTAACGCCTGATAGTTCAAAATCCTGAATTGGAGACTGGCTGAGGAAAAACTTTACTCCCCAAAAGGTCCAAACACTTGCCTTCCTTGTCGGATGGTGTGGAGTGGGTGTTGTTGTCTGGCTCATTCAGTCATTGCTTGGACCACCAGGAAGTTCCGGGGCTGGGGGAGGACGGTTAGATGTGAGAAAAAGAAGCTCAGACCCCTTAGCCAGAACATAGTAGACTTTTTCTGCCCCTTTGGGGGTAGGCGGGCACGTGGTTGGTGTGTGCCATACTGTCCTGGCCAGTTCAAGAATGGCATCATTAATGGGCAATGTGACTCTAGTTCAGTGGTCCCCAATGCGGTGCCTGCGGGCGCCATGGCGCCCGCCGGGGCATTTATGTGTGCCTGCCTAATGCCCAGCAGGGGAGAGAAGCCGCGGCCCCGCGCCTGCCGGGGACAGAGAACTCCAGGGCTGCAGGCTGCGGGCGCTGGTGTTCTCGGTCCCTGGCAGGTGTGGGGCCACAGCTTAAGCCGGAGAGAAGCCGCGGTCCTCTGGGGTTGCGGGTGCCGGTGTTCTCTGTCCTTGCGGCTTCTCTCCGGCTTCTCTCTAGATTCATTTATTATGTAATATTAAATATGATGTTTTTCGTATTATTTAATGTACAAATACAAAATAAGCCTTGAAAAATTGTTGGCACCTGCCACACTCTTCTGAAAACATGAATGTGCTACTGGCCACAAAAAGGTTGGGGACCACTGCTCTAGTTGGTGCTGGGTATCCTGGATTTCCTCTAGGGGAATGTGGAGTTCCCCCATGACTCAGCACTGTAGTTCTTGGAACTGCCTAAAGTCGTGTGCAGGTGAAGAGGACGCTGTAGTCCTTGCCTCCTCTGGGGAAGAGAAAGGGAATCTCACTGTTTCCTGCAGCACCCTCTGAGCCAGGCTCAGGGGATTCTCCTCCAGCAACGGATCCAAGCGCCTGCTAGAAGGGGCCCTCAATGGGGAGGCAGATGAAGGCTCCATTGTGGATTGGGAAGGTTCTGAGGGGGGGTATTGGGACCAGGGCCCCAATAAGGCCAGAAGGCTGGATCCAGAGGGTGTTGAGGTGGTCCCCATGGGGAACCAGTGGCTCCATGGTGGTTGGAGTGGAGGATGTTGCCAAGATTGGGATAGTGTTCCTGAGTATATGTACAGTTGGTACAACATCAATGGTCCCTCTCCAGCGTCCAACTTATCAGAGGATGAGAAGGTGGGCTCCAGTTCCACTGGCGATACCGTCAGAGCCGGTGAAAGTATGTAGACCGTCGGAGCAGGAGGCGAGGGGTCTCACAGTGGTGGCATATCATCATATCATAAGGGGGGGAAACAGTCTCCCTAAAAGTATTGGGTCCCAACAAGCATGGTGAACCCAGTTCCATTAAGGCGAAGACATCCTGGGCTCAAACACTGTTCTCAATCTCCCTGGTGTTAGAGGTACCCTTTCTTTATTCGGAACTGGTTGTGGTGCTGCAGATTTCCCCGGAGCGGGCAAATCCTGCGTCTTTGGGAGCGCTGATGTTGACAGTCCCTGTGGTCCAGCGCCCAGGACTGCCGGATCACCTTTCTTGTGGGACTTCTTGTCGTGTCTATGTGGTTTAGAGTGCTCCTTCTCCCTGGCTCGAACTCATGGAAGGACCATCCACTTTCTTCGTTTTTGAGGAAGACTTATTCCAATGCTTACAGGTATGGCTTCTTTACCTCCTGACTGGGCCCCAGCCTGGGCTCCATGGTGGTGGTACCGCTGGTGCCAGATTTGGATTTGGTAGCAGGAGGCACACTCCCTGCGGTTTCAGGCCAATGTACGGGGGGGTCGGTCCCTTGGCCTAGGTCCAAGAGAGGCCTGATGACAACTTCCATGAGGTATTTCCAGAGGTAGGGAGCCCAGCCTTCTCGGGTACAGCTCTGGAAGGACTGGCAGATACTACATCTGAATGCAGTGTGAGCTTCCCCCAAGCAGTAGAGGTAGTGTTGGTGTTTGTTGCTAACCAAAAGGGAACGCGGGCAGGAGGCACAGAGTTTGAAGCCCAGTGTTCTGGGCATAGTCTGGTACCTGCTCCTGGGTACAGAGGATAGGGAGGAGGGGGTAGAGAAACAAACCCCTGATCGATCTACGTTGCTCACTAAAATTACGATAAAACAGCTAAAAAGTTCTATAAAACTCTAAAATTCTAAAAACTATTTACAATGTATTTAAAGGTGCATAAGAGATGAAGGCACAGTACTTTTAGCAGCGGTGAGAAGGAACTGGAGATGTGGTCCCCACCCTTTATCACCTTGGATGAAACCACAAGGCGAGCCTGGGCACATGCCCAGACCAACAGACACTACCTTCACATTCTCCAACTCGGGGCACATGGTGCGCTTGCTAAACCCTCAGTGGAATACAATAGGGACCATCAGAATTCTGGGTCTAGTCTCTGGGCTTCTTGGGGGTTGGATACGATAAAAGAGGGCAGATTTTAGTCCCTTGGGTATACTGAGCTCCCTCACGTGTAAGTTCTAGGGAGGTTTGTACTGAGTAGGTTCTCCTGACACTAACAGAGGGCATCTTTCCAGGATCCAATGGAAGAATAAAGGATCTAACATCTAGAACAGAAAGTGATTTTGACTGCCATGGTAACAGAAGGCAGAGTAAACCAGCTAAGTGGCTCCCATAGATAGTGGCCACTTTTCAATACTTCACCTGCACAAACAGAAGCAGCTTCCTGTTGCAGATTTCCAAGCGCTTCCGCATGACTTCAGATTTCCGCAACTGACCATCTGCCAGGGACAGCCGTCTTTTCAGCTCCAGAATGTCTCCCTGAGGCGGAAAGAAGGAGGTGGGAAGAGAAGGGAGATAGCATCAGCCCACTTTAGGCCCTTGGAGGAACCAACTTAACAACAGGCTTGAAAACACACGGACGGCAGCTAGGTCCTCAGTGATGATAGAATTTCCCACAGAGTGGCAGTGGGGCTACATTCATACCAGCACTGTTCTCAGGGCTGCTTGGAAAAAGACAGGGGCATGAACAGACTATGGGCTCCCACAGCTGTGACAAACGGGCCAATTACAGGACAGAAAGGGATGATGCAACTTCAATTCCATTAGACGAGGAGAGCAGGGGCAGAGCAAGTAGAAATAAAGTACTTAGCTAAAATATAGGGACTGCCCTTCCTAAGTAGGAGCAACTGGCAAAGACACATCTCATGTCTACTGGCCTGCACCTTAATCTGCCTTAGTGTGGTCTCAGTCTGAGACCTGGCTCCCTTGTGGTTCTCTCCATTACTCATGATAGTTATGTTCAGCTGGGTAGCAGTCCCTAGATTGAACCACCTGGGGGCTGGGCATTCTTAATGAAAGGCCCCCATTATGGAATCTGCTCCTCATGCTAGCCCACTAACTCCATCATCGACCTTCAGGCCTGGTACAAGACACATCTCTCTTCTGAGGTTTTTGCCTGAGTTTGGAGCTTAGGGATGGAGGGTGGGGTGAGATTCTCAGCTAGTGCACATGCAGTGTCAGTGGAGCAATGGCGATTAGCAGTGGAACTAGCCTGGGTGTTAATTATTGTGGAGACACCTTTTCTTTTGATCTGGTCACTGGAAGTCATATTAAATATCAACATGAGCCTTGGGACTCTGCCAGCCTCTGTTTTACAAATTACACTCAATCTATCAATTACATTTTGCTTCAAAAGTAAGAGCCAGAGGCTTTTCCAACTGGTCCATTGAGTCCCCAGCCATCCCCTCCTGGGCCGTGGGGGTACATTACCTCTGCTTCGGAGACATGCTTTGTTTTCTTCCCTACCAGCTGAGTTTTCAGCTCAGTGATTTCAGCCTCTAGCAAGTGGATCACTTCCTCATAGTCCTGCTCTGCACTGTGAGCTTGCTGCTGCACCACCTCCGCCACCTGCAGCTTGCTGTGCAGGGTCCGGTTCTCAGATAGGAAGTCCAGCGCCTTCTGGAATCGGCAGGGAGAGTTAGTTAACACAGCATCCCCACCAGCCACCGACATATCAACCCATCAGCGTTCCTGGAGCTGCTCATAGTAAAGCTGCTGCTGTTCTTCCCATGGTACCATACAGAAAACCTTCATCTATTATGAATATTTTTCCTTTGCAACTTCCACGTAATTGTGGCAAAGGGCCGGAACCCACACATGCATGCACCTCCCAGGGTATGTCTATACTGCAATAAAGGAGTCGCAGCATGGCTGCGGCTGGCCCAGGTCACCCAGATCAGTCTCTGGGGCTTGGACTGCAGGGCTAAAAATTGCAATGTAGATGTTGATGAAGTCCAGGACCTCCATGGTAGCATTCTCTGAAATGCTTCCAGTTCCACATGCAGGGCCAGTTAGACAGGCAGAACTGCAGGGTCTCAATGCGTGGATGAGACAATGGTGTAGGGAGGAGGGGTTTAGATTTATTAGGAACTGGGGAAACTTTTGGGAAAGGGGGAGTCTATACAGGAAGGATGGGCTCCACCTAAACCAAAATGGAACCACATTGCTGGCACTTTAAATTAAAAAGGTCATCGATCAGTTTTTAAACTAAGGGCTGGAGGAAAACCGATAGGTGCGGAGGAGCATGTGGTTCGGACAGAGACATCCCTTAGGGGAGGATCTATTAATGGAAATTCTCTATGTGCTAGTAAGGAGGAGAGGATGGAAAATGATAAAATACGGGTAGGATCTGATGAGAAACCGTCAAATGAAAAAGAGTCCCATTCAATTACATCATGTAATAGGAAACAGCTAAAAAGTGACGTTTTTAAAGTGCTTATATACCAATGCTAGAAGTCTAAATAATAAGATGGGTGAACTAGTGTGCCTCGTATTGAATGAGGATATTGATATAATAGACATCACAGAAACTTGATGGAATGAGAACAATCAATGGGACACAGTAATTCGAGGGTGCAAAATATATCGGAAGGACAGAACAGGTCGTGCTGGTGGGGGAGTGGCACTATATGTGAAAGAAAGCGTAGAATCAAATGAAGTAAAAATCTTAAATGAACCAAACTGTACCATAGAATCTCTATGGATAGTAATTCTATGCTCTAATAATAAGAATACAGCAGTAGGGATATATTACTGACCACCTGACCAGGATAGTGAGTGACTGTGAAATGCTCAGGGAGATTAGAGAGGCTATAAAATAAAAACTTCAATAATAATGGGGGATTTCAACTATCCCCCTATTGACTGGGTACTTGTCACCACAGAATGGGATGCAGAGATAAAGTTTCTTGACACCTTAAATGACTGCTTCTTGGGGCAGCTAGTCTTGGAATCCACAAGAGGAGAGGGAATTCTTGATTTAGTCCTAAGTGGAGGACAGGATCAGGTCCAAGAGGTGAATATAGTTGGACCGCTTGGTAATAGTGAACATAATATAATTAAATTTAACATCCCTATGGCGGGGAAAACACCTCAGCAGCCTAACATTGTAGGATTTAATTTCAGAAAGTTGAACTACACAAAAATGAGGAAGTTAGTGAAACAGAAATTAAAGGTACAGCGCCAAAAGCGAAATCCCTGCAAGATGCATGGAAACTTTTTAAAGACACCAAAATAGAGGCTCAACTTAAATGTATACCCCAAATTAAAAAACATAGTAAAAGAACCAAAAAAGTGCCACTGTGGCTAAACAATAAAGGAAAAGAAGCAGTGAGAGGTAAAAAGGCATCCTTGAAAAAGTGGAAGTTAAATCCTAGTGAGGAAAATAGAAAGGAGCATAAACTCTGGCAAATGAAGTGTAAAAATATAATTAGAAAGGCCAAAAAGAAATTTGAAGAACACCTAGCTGAAGACTCAAAAAGTAATAGCAAAATTTTGTTTTAAGTACATCAGAAGCAAGAAACCTGCAAAACAACCAGGGGGCCACTGGATGATCGAGATGCTAAAGGAGCACTCAAGGACGATAAAGCCATTGCAGAGAAACTAATGAAATCTTTGCATCAGTCTTCATGGCTAAGGATGTGAGGGAGATTCCCAAACCTGAGTCATTCTTTTTAGCTGACAAATCTGAGGAACTGTCCCAGATTGAGGTGTCATTAGAGGAGGTTTTGGAACAAACTGATAAACTAAACAGTAATAAGTCACCAGGACCAGATGGTATTCACCCAAGACTTCTGAAGGAACTCAAATGTGAAATTGCAGAGCTACTAACTGTGGTTTGTAACCTATCATTTAAATCAGCTTCTGTACCAAATGCCTGGAGGATAGCTAATGTGACGCCAATTTTTAAAAGGGGCTCCAGAGGTGATCCTGGCAATTACAGGCCGGTAAGCCTGACTTCAGTACTGGGCAAACTGGTTGAAACTATAGTAAAGAAAAAAATTGCCAGACACATAGGTGAACTTCATATGTAGGGGGAAAGTTAACATGGTTTTTGTAAAGGGAATCATGCCTCACCAATCTATTAGAATTCTTTGAGGGGGTCAACAAGCATGTGGACAAGGGGGATCCAGTGGATATAGTGTACTTAGATTTTCAAAATCCTTTTACAAGGTCCCTCACCAGAGGCTCTTAAGCAAAGTAATCTGTCATGGGATAAGAGGGAAGGTCCTCTCATGGATTGGTAACTGTTAAAAGATAGGAAACAAACGGTAGGATTAAATGGTCAGTTTTCAGAATGGAGAGAGATAAATAGTGGTGTCCCCCAGGGGTCTGTACTGGGACTAGTCCTATTCAACATATTCATAAAAGATCTGGAAAAAGGGATAAACAGTGAGTTGGCAAAATTTGCAGATGATACAAAACTACTCAAGATAGTTAAGTCCCAAGCAGACTATGAAGAGCTACAAAAGGATCTCTCAAAACTGGGTAACAAAATGGCAAGTGAAATTCTATGTTGATAAATGCAAAGTAATGCACATTGGAAAACATAATCCCAACTATACATATAAAATTATGGGATCTAAATTAGCTGTTACCACTCAAGAAAGAGATCTTGGCGCCATTGTGGATAGTTCTCTGAAAACATCCACTCAGTGTGCAGCGGCAGTCAAAAAAGCAAACAGAATGTTGGGAATCATTAAGAAAGGGGTAGATAATAAGACAGAAAATATCATATTGCCTCTATATAAATCCATGGTACACCCACATCTTGAATACTGCGTGCAGATGTGGTCACCCCATCTCAAACAAGATATATTGGAATTGGAAAAGGTTCAGAAAAGGACAACAAAAATGATTAGGGGTATGGAACGGCTGCCATATGAGGACAGATTAATAAAACTGGGACTTTTCATCTTGGAAAAGAGACGACTAAGGGGGGATATATACAGGTCTATAAAATCATGACTAGTGTGGAGAAAGTAAATAAGGAATTGTTATTTACTACATCTCATAACACAATAACTAGGAATCATCAAATGAAATTAATAGGTAGCAGGTTTAAAACAAACAAAAGGAAGTATTTTTTCATACAATGCACAGTCAACCTGTGGAACTCCTTGCCAGAGGATGTTGTGAAGTCCAAGACTATAACAGGGTTCAAAAAAGAACTAGGTAAGTTCATGGAGGATAGGTGGCTATTAGCCAGGATGGGCAGGAATGGTGTCCCTAGCCTCTGTTTGCCAGAAGCTGGGAATGGGCGACAAGGGTGGATCACTTGATGATTACCTGTTCTGTTCATTCCCTCTGAAGCACCTGGCATTGGCCAGTCAGAAGACAGGATACTGGCTAGATGGACCTTTGGTCTGACCCCGTATGGACGTTCTTATGTACGTTCAGATTCGGGCAGGAGTCTGGCTCTGAAACCCCGCGAGGGGGATGGGTCTCAGAGCCCAGGCTCCAGCCCAAATGTCTACACTGTGAATTTTCAGGCTCTCAGCCCGAGCCTCAAGAGCCTCTCAATTGACCCAGGCTCTGAGACTCGGTGTCGTGGGTTCTTTATTGCAGCGTAAACATACCCCAGAGAACATTAAAACAGAGCCTGCTTTTGCACTTTGGCTAAGATAATGGAAACAACAGGTGCAGGACACTTGAGAGGTGTGATTTTGCCCCCACCCCCGGCAACCCTGCCTGTAGAAGGGCACATCTGGGCCTGATTTCTGTGGGTGCGATTGCATCCATGGAGCCCGGCTACTGCCTCCACTGGACAATTCACAAGTAACCCCTAAACTAACCTGGTTCAGTCTCTGAAGTTCATATTCCATTGACTTCTTGCTGCTTTCCACCTCCTTCAGAAGAGACTAGGAGGAAGATTTTCACTTGGTCAGGCATCATGTTTGACAGCACATTCACTCAGATGAAAAAGCAACAAGGGACCACTGTGATCACCTAGGCTATCTCCTGAATAACGCAGGAAATAAGACTTTCTTGAATTAATTCACTAGTCACAACTACGGACTTGCAGCTTTCCTCTACAACAGCCATATTTTTAGATGCACTCTTACTCGGAAACTGCCTTTCATTGGCTACAGCTTGTATGTATCTGAAAAATGCACCTTGTCATCATCATGCTTTTAACAGCTGAGCTGCCAATATTAGGTTAGATCAGGAGGGTGGGGGGTGTATTTAGGTTTAATATGAGATGTGAATTATTTGTGTTATGTTTTGGATATTTTAAAAATGTTTATTTTCTTTTAGGGTTTTCCATTTAAAAAAGAGTGACCATACCCTTTCAGCACATTAAACATTTTTTTTAAGGAAAAAAATCAAAGAAAGAACAAAAATGAAGTCTCGATGAGAGGATGCACCATACACGTGTCTCCTCTGTAACAACGCGTGTCATAACTATAAAGGGAAGGGTAACAGCCCTCCTGTGTACAATACTATAATCCCTCCTGGCCAGAGACACCAAAATCCTTTTACCTGTAAAGGGTTAAGAAGCTCAGGTAACCTGGCTGACACCTGACCCAAAGGACCAATAAGGGGACAAGATACTTTCAAATCTTGGTGGATGGAAGGCTTTTTTTTTGTGCTCTTTGTTTTGGGTGTTGTTCGCTCTTGGGACTAAGAGGGACCAGACATCAATCCATGCTCTCCAAATCTTCCGAACAAGTCTCTCATATTTCAAACTTATAAGTAACAGCCAGGCAAGGCGTGTCAGGTTTATCTTTATTTTCTCAGCTTGTAAATGTTCCTTTTGCTAGAGGGTTTACCTCTGTTTGCTGTAACTTTGAACCTAAGGCTAGAGGGGGTTCCTCTGGGCTCTTTGAATTTGATTACCCTGTAAAGTTATTTTCCATCCTGATTTTACAGAGATGATTTTTACCTTTCTTTCTTTAATTAAAAGCCTTCTTTTTAAGAAACTGATTGATTTTTCCTTGTTTTAAGATCCAAGGGGATTGGATCTGGACTCACCAGGAATTGGTGGGGGGAAAGGAAAGAGGGGGGAATGATTAATTCCTCCTTGTTTTAAGATCCAAGGGGTTTTGGATTGGTGTTCACCAGGGAATTGGTGGAGGAGTCTCTCAAGGCTACCCAGGGAAGGGAGTTAGTACTTGGGAGTGGTTTCAGCAAAACCAGATCTAAGCTGGTAGTTAAGCTTAGAAGTTTTCATGCAGGTCCCCACATCTGTACCCTAAAGTTCAGAGTGAGGAAGGAACCTTGACAACGCGCATTGAACTGAACGCAAAATGGTGGCTGCCTCCAACAAATGCCTAGAAACGTAAAGGATTGATACACACAGAAGACCTGCCTAATTGTCACACTGTTACATCCACTATATTTGAACTGAGTTATGGCAAAACGCCTAGGACAGAAAAACGTGCTCAAAAGATAAGCCTTACCTTCAGCCTTTGGACTTCCTGCCGCAGATCTGTCATTTCCAGTTGAAGCTGTTCCAGTTCCTCACCGTCGGTACAGCTGACGGAGTCAAAAGTCTGGAACACATTGGTGCACACGGTGAGTGAGTTCGGCTTATCTTTCACCATGAGCATGTGGTTACAACGTATGAATACTTTTGACATACCCCGACCAATCATTATTCAAAATAATTTTCAGACAGTTTGTGTTTTTACAAAATGACATAAGTGTCACAATAAATAATCTAATTGTGGTTTTGTATTCCATAGGAATTCAGGCTCCACGCCATGAGACAGCTGGAACAATGGTTAATTCTCACTGTGTTACTGAAGTGACAATAGCTGGAATGGATTCACCATGGCTAATTTTCCTTCTGTATCACCATCAAAGTGACATAAAATGGCCTCTTTAGGCAATGAAATATCTTGAATGGCTTTACTGTGGTAATTTTTTCTTTTGTATGGCTAGAAAATTGACATCAGCAGCTTTCTTCAAACCATTACATAGGGGTTTTTTTTATTCATTAAGCATGGGAAGTCAGGTCTTTTATGGGATTTCCTTTAAGCTTTATGATTAAGGGATGAAATTCTAGCCTCTCTTTTCTATAACTAAAGTATAAGTGAAAGATAGCCCATTAGTCTTTGCCTTCTCTGCCTTTTGGAGAAAGATAGCACTGTCGCTGTTTTCTTCTACAGTTTACAGCTATCATCCAGACCAAGAATCCAGGACACAGCTACTTGGTCCCAAATCATCTTATGGTATATACCTTTCTCTTACGTCAGCTCACAGAAAGACCCAGAAGGTCTTTGATCTGAGAGGAGCTTTGGAACCAAGGCAGGGTGCAGTAGGCTAGGAAGAGAAGCAAGAAACAGTATTTGGCTAAGGCTGACCAGAGAGTGAAAAGCAGATGTATCCAATAAACTGGCCACTTCGTGCTGAGTGAATAGCACAGAACCGGCATCAAGGCCAGCCTCCTCCAGCTCATCTTGCAGCAGATCCCTGAGTGCTTGAAGAAAATCTATGAGAGAAAAAGAGAGAGAGTAGTCACAGTATGAGGAGAGAGCGCCTGGAACTGAGTTTACACAGCCAACTTTCACAGAAACCACAGATTATCCAGGAGAAGGTAATACATTTCATTTCCATCACTACAAACATTATAGCAAACCCAACCACCTCCAGCAGAGAGAAGGTTCTCTATCCCATCCCAAATCTCTGTATGTTGAATACAGGGTCAGTATGCAGTAAGCTTTTGCTAGCCATGGTTTAGAGACCTCTATCCAATTTTCTAGAAAGCATTGCTTAGGATTAAAAAAAAACCCCACAACCACCACCTAGCATTTTCATCAGAGAAACTACTTGGAAGCAATGCTGCACTTCAGTGCAGAGACAAAGGAGTTACGTGACCAAACCTTAGAGGGCAGCAATTTCCTGCCAGCCCACATAAAGCAGGTTTGTCATTCTGTTTTTGCAGCTTCCTTTTGCCATTGCTGGTGAGCAGGCTGAAGGTTTGAGGAGAAGGGGCCTGTGCACTCCCTCTCTGTTACTCCCATTTTACATGTGGACCAGTCAGAGGCCTTTTCCTTGTGTGACCAGTTACTGAATAAATTGCATCTGAACTAAAACCTGTCTGGGCACTGAACCATAGGGTTAGAAGGGACCGCAAGGGTCATCTAGTCTAACTCCCTGCCAAGATACAGGATTTGTCGTGTCTGTTTCTTTATTCTAGCTGTTACCTCCCAGGTGGTATGTCTCACGTCCCAAAGCAGTCAATGGCGTTATACCAGGGATGAAATGCGCCTTCTGTCTCATATTGCACATAGCAGCACCTGCTCACCTCCATAGGCCACTGTTCCCTGCGAATCTGTGATCAGACTCTGCCGTAATTGCTTCTTCTTCTCCTCGGTCACATCCAGACCCAGATATTGCAGCACCTTTAAACAGAAGCAACAAGTCCACAGAATAACCCCCACAGGAATGCAAGTTTTCTGGAAGGAGTTGGGGGGAGGGCAGTCTGAGCTGGATTTATCATCAAGTTCATCATCATTCACACCGTAAACATGACTTTTCATGGAGCAGGTCTGGCCTAGGTCTCCATGTCACCTCCGCACCTAGATCTGGAACCATGTTGCATCTCTTCTGATCTCTTCCCATGAGCACTTCATACGGAGTATGGGACAGATCCTCAGCTGATGTAAACTGTTCTCGCTCCAGTGAAACCAATGGACAATTTCCACCAGCTGAGGCTGTGCTGCTAAGAGTTCAGCTTCCTTTCAGGTTCCCATTTATGCTCGCTCTCTCACTCCCCAGAATGAGTCTTTGGCGTGGTTAGAGCATGCAAACAATACAAGTCTCACTGCTTTTCTCTGCAGAAGGCATTGTCATAATACTTTACGCTTCCATGGGGCCTTCCAGTCAAAGAGCTACGTTATTATTATTTATTGTTTCTTTGGTTTCTTTACTTTGTGTAGAAGACACAAACATTAATTAATCAAATCTCACCGCAGCAACACAGACAAACAAATCCATGTTATTTCTATTTTATACATGACAGGACTGAGGGACACAGAGACTAGGTGACTAATGCACGGTCCCGTTCTGTGGCAAGTCAGTGACAGAGCCTAGATTAGAAGCCATGTATTGTCCCCTTCTCTAACCGATAGACACATGGGAAATTCTGGATTTTCTCCAGCTTGGGCCCACAACCTTGGAGAATCCCTCTTGGGGGAAATAAAATGGCATTCAGAAACACAGCTTTTAAAGTGCAAGGCAAAGTGTGCTATGCTCCTTATAAATGAAGCAACTTTGTGTTAAAGCCAGAATAAGTAGAGACCAATGAGAAAATACAACCCTGAATTCTAAATGAGAAGCATCGTGCATTTCTAGCAGGAAACGTTGTACCCACATGCTACATTCCTGATTTTCCTGGGATTCCAAACTGAAAAGGCAACTGCTTCGTCCACCATGAGGTGGCAGCAAACGCTAGCCTCTATGCCTGGAAAAGGTGTGTCTTGCCCAGCAAGCTGTATCAGCTCCAACAGGAACAACAGAACCAGATATTCATGACAGACACTGTACCTATCCAAAAGCCTGGGTGGGGAGATAACCTTGGGGTGGGTGGTACATTTCTAGACTGTATCCATCACATTACAAGAAAATACAGTACGAGTGGGCGGGGTGTTCATATTTGATATAAAATGGTTGAGAATAAGAAACCCAAAGGACACTCAAGTTAATTAGGCCTCACTATTTAGTCACCAGTAAGTTCTAGTCCCCATCCTTTGAAGAGGATTGGAATGTTTTGTTTATCAAAACACTTTAACTAGGAAAAACCCCACAACATTCTTTAGATCCTCAGCACTTCAAGCACATCTTGACACATTGTTATATTGGGCCTGATTCTTGCTTAAGGCTGGTCTACACGGGGAACTTACACTGGCATAACTACATCTACATTCATACCCCTGAGAGACATAGGTGTGCCGATCCAACTCCCGGTGCAGACAGCGCTAGGATGATGGAAGAATTCTTCCGTAAATTTAGCTACTGCCTTTTGGGAAGGGGGATTACCTACCCCAACAGGCAAACCCCTCCCGTCAGTTTAGGTAGTGTCTACACTGTAGGGCTACAGAAGCGCAGCTGCAGCTGTAGCAGTTTCAGTGTAGACGTCCTCTTACACTAAGGCCCACTTATATGGCTCTAGCAGTATGAAGGGGCCATGAAATGTGTGTAGGTTAGTGTAATGAGAATTTAGGCCATCATAGCAAAAAGTGCTCAACTTCAATGAGAGCAGGATTGGACCCATAGATAGCGGAAGGGGGGTCGTTCTGAATCAAAAGCTCTCTATAGATGTATAACACTAGTGCCAACAATAACCTTGCTATAGGAGGACACGGGAGATTTTAGGGGCTCTCTGGACAAAAAGCCAAGCCAGGAGAATTCAAATGCCTGTAGGTTCTAATCCATGTGATGTTGTCACACTGTGTCTTCCCTGTTTCAGGTCTGGCATCCTCTACATCTCAGAATTTTGGAGGAATGGCGCACATATTTCTTGACCGCAAACTGAACTCAGATATGGTGCAACAGTGTCATTTTTTCACAAGACCTGTTCAGATAGTTTGGTAGAAGCCTATTATCCCTCTATCTCATTAATCAGATTAGGACTTGAACCTAATTGTACTGGATGAGCTCTGTGATCCTAATAATGTAATCAATGTTTTGAGCACTGTGTCTGTATCTCACATTACCTGAACTATGACTCATGTGTCTATTAATAGCCCTATACACCCAGGTCAGGTTCTGGATTAGAATAAAGGGGAATCAGATGGAGCAGACTGAATCCAGCACTAGATGATGTAGGTGCAGATTAGGTCACGTGACCCAGTGCTATAGATTTATTCTATGCAAACAGGTAGGCACCAGATTCTGTTAGACTAGGTTTGTGGTATTTTAATCTCTCCTGAAAGCAAGCGACATACTAACCCCAATGCCTTTCATTGACACCGTCATCATGAGCCCGAACATAATGCTTGTGCAACAGAATTGGGAAAGATTCAAGCTGAGAAACCTAGATATATTCGCAGCTCCACATGTGCGTCCATGGGATCTCAGTGCATAGACACCAAGGTACAGTCTGTGCACCGATTTGAGAATATACCACCACATATAAAATAAATGGCATATTGCCAAAGATTAACAGCCTAAAAAAAAACAAAACATTTTTTCCACCTTTAGATGGCTTGAGCAAAGACAGAAAATTACAAAACAAAGTAAATAAGGCAATGCCCAGGTATGGACAAAGCCCTATTGCAATCATTCTCCAACTTTTCCATCATTCTTCAAGATCGAGATCCTCTCACTTGGCACTCCCAGTCCTGATCTTTCACCTGCCCTGCAGCTGCCAAGAGTGCGTGTGTACTTGTGGAGTTGCAAATAATGACCTTGCTCCTTGCTATACAAACAAACAGCAAGAGAACTTACTAGCTTCTTGCATGCAATAAAATGATCAGCATCATTTTTAGGTAGTTATGCTTCATGGTCTCTTTAAAATGTTTTACACTATTACCAATGCCAGTTACTAGTGGGTTGGGGCTGGACACCACAGAATAATATATTGCCTATTGGTATGTATGGGATGCCACATTCACCCATAAACTAGAATACTGTATATTCACAAATGCAATGAAGTCTGTATCAAACCATTACCACTGGGATTTGGAGCTCAGCCATTATTATTATTTGTATGCAGTATCACCTAGGAGCCCTACTGCTAGACCAGGGCCCCACTCTGCCAGGTGCTGTACAAACAAAGGACAAAAATGGAGTACAGTTTTATCCAGTCATCTATCTGGAAGGCAATTTCAACCCAGCAATATTATGGTAAAGACAATGGCCCCAACTGAGATGTGGCATACCAGGATGACACTCCCACTAAGACAATACAATTGTCCTCCTTATTAGAACCAGAAGAAAAAAGGAAAAAACAGGTTTGCAAAACAAATAAACTAATCAGAATATTTTTCCATTTTGGGTTCAAACTTGACCAATTTTCATTTGTAATGTTTTTTGGCAGGATTTTTGTGTCCTGGTTTCCATTTTTTTTAAATGACAGGAAAACAAAACAGGATTTCAGCCGTTTAGGAAAGCAAGCAAGCAAGAGAAAACCAAATATGGTAATTTTTTTTCATTTCTGATTTTGTTGAAAAACTGAAATATTTCTAAAAACACCCAAAAAGGGCTATTTTTGAATGATAAACTTTTTCTTTGAAAATTTTGAACCATCTCTAGCCTTCAGACCAGGACTGAATTTGCCCCTGCATCCTGGTTTGCTGCCTATAAGATCTGAAGACACAGGAAGTGTTCTTTCTTTTGCTGTTCTATTTTGTGTTTATGTTTTCCTCTGGCCGTCAACATTTTTTGGCCCATTATCTCCAAAGGCACCTCACCTATTCCTGCAGAGAAGCAGCTGTCTCCAAGCAGGACATTCTATTAACACGGAATGCTGAATTGGACTGGAGCCCACAAAATGATCTCTGAGGCAGGCAGAGACCCATGAGTAAAGACCTGTTTCAATCCCTAATCTTGCTTGACCTGGGACTGCCTGGATATCTTAACATTAGTGTGGTGTGGTTCTCAGACTTTCATAGCATGAACCACAACTTAATATCCAACCTCACTTCCCCTCCCATCTACCACCACCTGGCCCCACCTCCTCTCTCATTTGCCATCACCTGGTCCTTCTTCCCTTAACCATCCTCGTACAAATTACAGCAATTTCCTTCCTGGAAAAGCAATATGAGGGAAGTGCTTATGTAGTTTTAGCTTCTTTTAATGCAATTTAGCAGCTGGAAAGAAGTAGGAGGAGCTGGCACCATGTAGTCTGGGAGCCCTCATCATTTTATTGAGCACAAAATCTCAATTTCAAGGCAGGAAGCCTTTTAACTTACCAGTTCAACTTTCCCATCCTTGAGTCGAATATGGGGATCCAGTGCTACTTTCGGTTTGCTGCCCGAAGCTGCTCTCTGACTAGAAGGTGAAGCAGGTGCTAAATAAGATTAAGCAATCATTAGTGGAAGAGCATGGGAGGTGGGGGGGAAGAGAGATGTTGACAAGGCGCGTCCCAAACTAAGCTGAGGGCTTTGGCATAGCATGAAATATGTTTCAAGTACAGATGGGCTAAAATCAGAGGCCAGGATTTTCAGAGGATGGGTGCTCAGCACTCTCTGAAAACCAGGACACTTTAAAATCTCCACTTGGGCATCACAAATGAAGGCAACTAAAATTACAAGTCGCTTCTGAAAATCTTGGCCAGAAGTTTATATATGAGGCCTGGGACTCTGAACTTTGGTGATTTGAATAAAATTCAACCTGGATTCCGACCACCCCAATTTATGCTTCGGTTTTACAAAACCAAAACCCAACCAGTGAGGTTTTATAAAAATCCACCACTGGCCCCTTAGCCCAGGAGTTCTAACCCAGATTCAAAGTAAGGTTTATGTAAGTGCTGGACTCAGTGTGGTCTCAGAGAAGTGTTCCCAACTCCCATTAAAGAGAGAAAACACAGGTTAAAAACACACAAGAAAACGTGTTGCAGGATTTCTCCCTGTGTTACTGTTATGAAAAGCACCAGCTCCCTTTCACTCAGGCTGGGCAGGCTGCATAGTATGTGCAGGGTGTACGGTTAAGGTGAGGCTGGAGAGTGCTTGTGTCCACAATAGAAATTGTATTGTAAGAAGGGAAACGGTAGAGTGTCTCCGTCAGAGAAAACGACTGAGGCATTGGGAGAGAGACCCGGCCGCTGAAAATCTGCTCTTCATTACAGGGGGCATTTTCAAAAGTGCCCAAATGACTTAGGAGCACAAGTCCCGTTGACTTCAGTGGGACCTGTGCTTAGGAAAATCCCACAATTCAGTTAATTCCTGCAGCCCTCAACAGACCCCTGCAGAAGAGGACTGCAGAAACTGCTGCTCATTTAAGGGGAGGCCCAGATGGACTCTAAAAATGGGTAATGCCACCGCTGCTTTTAAGATCCTGCTAATGAAGCTCTTTGAATCTGATAACAAAAAGGGCTTATGGTACAGGATCGTGTCCATAGAAGAGCGTCCAAGAGCCATTTTCTTTCATCTTTGCAATGCCTGGGAACTGGGGCCCAGGTTAACAAAGAAACTGATACCCAGATCGCCTTAAGGACCTCCTGCTGTTTTAAATTAGTGGGTGGGATTTTCCAAAGCACAAGGGATTTAGGAGCACAAGTCCTGTTGAAAAAAAATCAGTGAGACACATGCTCCTAACTCACTCAGGCACTTTTGAAAAAATGCCACTCACTGTGACTCTCAGGTGAAGAGAAGATTTTATGGAAACACAGGGGAAAAGCAGCAGAGGTGCTGTCACAAGCGTAATCCTCCTAATCCTGATATTTATCTGTCCCGCTAATGCCAGCAGCTGGGAAGCAGGGCCTGAGGTAATAAATGGGTTCACTGGATTGGTCACCCAGCCCCATGCTGTGTAGGTTCAAGGGCAGATCATTCCCCTTCAACTCCTTGCTAATCGGGATTAGCTCCATGCGGCTTTGCTCATAAACTCTCAACACAGACATCCCAGGCAATCCTGAAGGCCACCAGGCACCGGTGATCAGTCAAGAGGCCCCAGTGACTTGTTCAGATTTCAGACTAAGCTCCTGTCCCCCCAAAACTATTTGTTTATTCCAATGTATAATGGGGCCTGTTCAGAACTCTGTGCCCTTCGCTGCACTCATAACACCCGCTATAAAAAGCAGACATCTGTAATGGACTGCCTGAGATGATTCTCAGCCTAGATTATACTATTTGTATGACTAGCAGCCCGACTGAGATCAGGGTCCTAGTGTGCGAGGCGCTGTACAGAAAAAGAGCAGGAGACGGCCCCTGCCCCAAAGAATTTACAGCCTAGACAGACAAAAGATGGGAGGGGGACACAAAGGAGAAGTGACTTGCCAAGGGTCACATAGCAGAGCTGGGAATAGAACCCAGTCTGCCTGACTGACTGACAGACAGACAGTTAGTCAGTTAGTCAAGGGCCCTGTCCACCAGACTACACTGCCTCACAGGTCTACTATGTAGATAGACTAACTAACAACTGCCCCCCATAGGCTGGCCTTGGCCCATCCCTTCAGACCCTCCCCTTCAAGAGGAAATATGTTCTTGACAGCATGTCCTGAGGGTTAACAAAGCAGGTCTGGGGCCTTACCAGTGTGCGGAAGCATATTTCAGAGTGGAGGGCCCTTAACAGACCTTCCTGCCTGCAGCTCTCTCTTGTTTCGACCAAAGGATCTCTTCTCGAACGCCAATGCAGAATGCAGTGTGGGAGTGGGAAAGAGTCTGTCGTAAGCTTTGTCTGCACTAGGAGAAAGGTGGGGTTTCACCAGGTGGTAGCTAAAGCGTGGTGACAATCACATAGTGAAAACTAGTGTGGCTAAGGCAGGGGTAGCTTTCACACAGTGGTTGGTTGAGGTAACCTGTAGGTTCCCCTTATACCTGGTCACATGTGCAAACTGCCTTGCCCACACTAGGATGTTTTACCACATATTAGTTACCACATGTTAGCTAGCATGGGATAAACTCCCCACCTTTATCCCTGGTGCGGTGCACCCACAGTGTCAGAATAAAGTTTACGGTATCATGCTGAAGATTATCTATTGGGCCCCTGAACTGTGTGTATCTCTGCAATTTCCACAGACTCCAACGAGAATAGTGAAGACTTATGTGAGGCCAGAACTCATCCCAGTGCGACTTTACCTGCCATCACATCACTGAGGGCAGTAATTCTTTTTATGAACTGCCCAAATGGCAAGAGAAGAGAGACATTTATACTGATTAAGACTATTTCGCTATATCATCAATTCAAAGTATCAGGCTAATTAGGACCTCAGTTCCCAAGGAACATTACTCCATATGAATGTCTGTCTCAAAATAGTTTTGTGTATCGCAGAGTAGTCTGACAGCATTAGCAGATGTAGAAATGGACAAGGACAGTCAGCATGGCAGATAAAGCATTTACTTCTTGGGGGAGCAGAACCATGAGCCCAACAGATCAGATGTGCTTCTGTAGATATTATTCATTTTCTTTTTCTTATTAATCAAATACAAACATCTCTGAGCGTATAGAGTAGGGGCTCAAAATGCCTAAAGGAAAAGAAAATATTGAGCTGGGAATGTGTTATTTAAGCCAGAAATGCCTCAGGATCAGCCAGAGGGCTCAGATTCTTCTTCCTCAAAACTTTCTATATTTTCAACTAATGCACAATCTCCATTGGAGAAAATAGAGCATGTGCATTTTAGCATGTATCTGAAACAAGCACGCAGATATCACACTGGCCGGGGTTGGCGCACGCACATTTGCAAACCCCAACTTTCATGCATGCCTTGGATTACTTGTGTGCTTAAGCTGAGTTTGCTGATTTTTGTGCTTGCTTGAAAATTGCCCTCAAGTGTTGAATGTGCAAATAGATCGAGCCACTTTGGGATTCAGAACTATATGAAGTGGGATCTTAAGTGGAAGAAATGTGTGTTTGTGTGTGTGTGCGCAAAAAATATGTTTGATGTGTGTGTGGAAAAAATGTTCCCACTGAAATTTTTCAAAATTGGAAATGTTTCTAACCTGCTCTTATCTTAAATAGTAAGTCTCAAGCATCAGCCAGAAGAGAAACCTGCAAGGAGGGAGTCTTCTGTTCAAACCAAAGCAAAAAAAAAAAAAAAAAAAACACGTGAAAGCAAGAGGTATGTAGTCGTCTGTGAGCACAGAGGAAAATATAATTTGAAAGATGAGTATCTTCCTACATGTGAACCTCGGATGCTGAGACAATTATGACAGATTTACAAAGCCCCCTTGTTCTCTCCCACGATTTACAACTACCTCTTCATGGATCGTTGGAGGCAACCTATTTGGCTCAATGATCGTGGAATTGTGTTCCCATTTGGGGCCATGCTGTGCTTTGTAAGCAACACTGATTTATCTATTTTTTAATAGCAATTCAGCTTCCAAGAGCCATTCAGTCCCACCAGCAAGGCTGCCAATTAGTGCTGACTGTAATAAGGATATCTGGCCACTGGACTGATCCCAAAACCACATTTCACACAGCCTTTGGATAACTGCAGTGACGCTCCACCACTACCAACCCAACACAGAACCGCTGACCTAGAGCTGAAAGGCTCTGTATCCCATTGCTAATCCATTAAGACACTCAGTCACACCTGCAAAGACCTCTGCTCCCATAGACAAGCTAACATGGGGGTATCTAATGCCTACTGAATAGAGCCCTACATTAATTGTACCATTGCCTTTAATCAATCCTAATGGACTGGACGCTGTCATTACACTATTAAACTCCACCTACACTGCTGTAAGGGCTGGCTCCAAGATTTTTGCCGCCCCAAGCAAAAAAATGTTCCCACGCCCCCATGGCCCTGCCCCAACTCCGCCCCTTCCCCAAATCCCTGGCCCCGCCTCCTCCCCCGGGCGTGCTGCATTTCCCCTCCTACCCCTCCCTCCCTCCCAGGCTTACCGCAAAACAGCTGATTCGCGCAGCAAGCCTGGGAGGGAGGGGGGAGAAGCGAAGTGGCGGCGCGCTTGGGGGAGCAGGCAGCAGTGGAGCGGAGGTGAGCTGGGAGGGAGCGGTTCCACTGCCCCCCCCCCCGGTTACTTCCCGCAGCCCTCCCCCGTCCCCCCACCCCCGCCGCCCACCTCCCCTCAGGGCCGGCTCCCCGCTTTTTGCGCCCCAAGCAAAAAAAAAAAAAAAAAAAGAGGAGCCGGAGTGCCCCCCCTTGGAGTGCCTCCAAGCATGTGCTTGGAGCGCTGGTGCCTAGAGCCGTCCCTGACTGCTGTAGGTATTTAAAGCTTCATTTCATTACTTCTGATACTGAGAATCTATGAACTAGATACCTTCGCCACCTACACAAACAGAGGAGATCGCAAGAAAGCATGTCTCTTACCAGATATTGTGAGCTCTGGGGGGCAAATGTCTGGGGATGGAGAAGGCACAGGAAAGAGATTTTCTTGTCTGGTCTAAAAAACAAAACAAAATAGCACAGAGGACAAAATGCTGAGCCCAGTCTGCCAATGTAAGTGAAAAGCAAAAATAGGGGGAAGAGCTCAATAGGTCCCAGTTGCTCCCTAAGGAATCAGAGTGAACCATCTCTTGCGTGAAGCACCATGTGAACCTATTGTGCTAGAGAGCATGAACAATGATGATGAACCAAACAAGAGTCCTGTTTTGGAGTAAAAGGGGATTGTGTCAATAATAGTCCCAGAGGCCCAGATCGTCAAAAGGTTTGTGCGCCTAACTCCCACGTTCATTACTGTGGGATCTAAGAATCTCCCAGATGATTGCACACACAGGAGGCTAAACTGAAGTAACTTTACTGAGAGCAGTAGAATCACACCAAGGATGACCCGGCGTGTTGTAGCCACTGGGGTTTGTTTATATATCCAAGACACCCGTGGATTCTGAGGGAGTTTGGATCATCCTAGGTGGGAGGGATAGCTCAGTGGTTTGAGCACTGGCCTGCTAAACCCAGGGTTGAGAATTCAATCTTTGAGTGGGCCACTTAGAGATCTGGGGCAAAATCAGTACTTGGTCCTGCTAGTGAAGGCAGGGGGCTGGACTTGATGACCTTTCAAGGTCCCTTCCAGTTCTAGGAGATAGGATATCTCCATTAATTATTATGACCGTTTACAAGCTCCTTCTATAACACTGGAGCTAGCCCTCACTGTAACCTGCCATGCTACATACTTAACCACATGACTCATTGATTTTGATGGGACCTGCATGGCCAAATCTCCTAGTCACCTCTAGCTTCAGGAAATACAGTATAGTGCTGCGCCTCATGAGGAACGAGTGCTGATGGTGCTGAATTTGATGGTTGTTGAATGTGGGCAGGTATTCACTGAGTTACTGTCACCAATTGCTTTTTTCACTTGTGACTTCTGAAAACAGGTTTGAACCAGGACTCTGGAGATGAAAACACATCTCAGCAATGTTCAAATGCATCACTTCAATTGACTGATCCTTTGTCACCCCAAACCAGAAGAAACAATATCTCAGATGTAAAATACCGAACTCCATATGAGAGCAAACAGAGCCATACAAGTCCACACTGCTGACTTTCCAAACAGCTAATCCGGAAAGATTATCACAGAGTCCCTAAAAACAGTAATCCGATTGGAGATGGAAATCATGGGGTCGGCCTCTGTGGTCTTATACTGAACTTCAACGTACCTCAGGTGACCTCACATGGACTTTCAACCTGCAAGAGCTAAGACCATTCCCCATGGCCTTAGGAGGTGGCAATTGGATGCTGTTATGAACTGAGAGTCCGGGATGTAACCGTCCCCTTCCAGGAATAAAGGCCACTTCTGTGTTTACCTCATGTCTGAAAATAACCAAGTTTTGTTAGTGCTTAAAAACTACACATGCTTAAGGTTTCAGAACTTTCACAGGAATAGCTCTGTGGTCTTTCCTCTGAGCTAAGCTCATTAATTGCCTGTGTAACACGCAACAATATTAGAGCTGTCTTCATCAGACAGGCTTCTTATGAGAGCCCAAGTTCTGTTGCAGAACTTTGGGAAGGTCTGTGTGATGGAACACACTCATTGCAAAGCAATACAAAGACTGACAGGTTGGGAAGAACTCCTGCCATTCCTGATTATGATGTGAGAAGCTCCATGTACTCAAGACCTCCTGAAGTATGAAGGTCTCCAATATGGGAGGTTCTTCTTGCACCTTAAGCTTAGAACTATGTGCAGGTCTCCTACCTAACACTCAACAGATATCACAAGATATGGCCTTTATTGACAATAATAGGAAATGCTTTTTGTACCCAAGGAACTTATTCGCCTGGGCTGCTCGTGCATGCCTACCTGAATTTGGTTTTTGCAAGTATTTTTCTGGCCTCTTCATATGTGCTGCCCACCAAAGAGTCTTTATTGATGGCAATTAGCTGATCACCAGGCCGGAGCCGCCCATCCTAAACAAGGGAGACATCTGTGTAGCATCAAGCTTTATCCACAAGGATTAGTGCATCAAAAAAAGAGTGACACTCTGCTCAAAGTATTCTCCTGCAATACACATCCTTATTACCCCACACCATAGATTGTTCACCCATCCCAATGAGAGCTCCTTCCGAGCAGCTGGAGCTTTCAGGAAAGACTCCTGTTTCATAGGTCACAGAAGCCCTCCATGCTGTTGACTTACTCTGTAACAGTCCCCTTCTGGCATAAGCTCTTGAACATAAATCATGGGACCCTCTGGCCTGTTAGATCCGCCACTGATCGTCAACCCCAACCCAGAGGATTTTGCTATGGAGATGCACTGAATCCCTGATTCAAGGGAGTAGCTGCAAGGAACAGAAGAGTTAGCAGAAGACACAACAGTGGTCTGTTTTATTCTATAGAGTCATCGAGTACATCTGTAATTACACAGTAGAGTTCTAGCAAGTCACCACCACTGCTGAATGAAAAGTTCTACATTTGGTTTTGTTCCTAAGTCTGCGATCTCCCTATCCTTCTCAACCTCTTCTCCCTCTGCCTCCTCTTTTCCTCCACTCTACCTGAAAACGGGAGTGCAGAAAACACTTATCAAAACCATTCTGAACCTCAAGAATACGTTTGATTTGAGTTTAGGACTAGAAACGGGTAAAGCTTCAGGTGCCTATAGGTGAGTGTGTGGGGGGGAGGAGTATTCGCTACTTTTATGGGGATAAATGTTGTTACTGTTATTGTTGTTTATTTGTATTATGGTAGTTCTTAAGAACCCTAATTGAGGACCAGGGCTCATTGTGATCAGCACTGTCTGGACAAGTAATGAAGAAGAGATTCCCTACCCCAAACAGCTTACAATCTTCATGGTATGCAGCACACAACAGATGGATGAAACAGATCAGTGGGGTGGCAGTGGGATAGGCGGGGAGGGTAATAATAAAATGGAGTTCAGCAGAAAAGCTGAAGTCATAGCCAGTTACTTGCCTAATCAATGCCAGGTGGGAATGATTTGTAGGCACCACAACAGAGGCAGGTTTGAGGGAGGGATTTAGAAGTGAATACTGTGGGTAGGTTGATAAATATTGCTAGGGAGTTTTCCCTATGCGTGGGGGTCAGCATGGGACAAAGCGTGGAGGTGCTGGAGCAGTAGGAAAGGCTGCCATTACTGGAAAAGCAACAGTGGGCATCAACCACTTGATAAGGCCACTCATCCTTAGTAAATAAAGGCGGTAACTAACTGGTTCTCTCTCTTCTAAGATAAAGTCTAACAACATCCATATAATAACCTGTAAGCAATCTGTCACATGAATGATCTTTTAATTTCCTGATAGCTCAAAATACAGTAATATGACTATAAAAAGCAACAAAGGGTCCTGTGGCACCTTTAAGACTAACAGAAGTATTGGAGTATAAGCTTTCGTGGGTGAATGCCCACTTCATCAGACGCAAGTAATGGAAATTTCCAGAGGCAGGTATAAATCAGTATGGAGATAACGAGGTTAGTTTAATCAGGGAGGGTGAGGTGCTCTGCTAGCAGTTGAGGTGTGAACACCAAGGGAGGAGAAACTGCTTCTGTAGTTGGATAGCCATTCACAGTCTTTGTTTAATCCTGATCTGATGGTGTCAAATTTGCAAATGAACTGGAGCTCAGCAGTTTCTCTTTGGAGTCTGGTCCTGAAGTTTTTTTGCTGTAAGATGGCTACCTTTACATCTGCTATTGTGTGGCCAGGGAGGCTGAAGTGTTCTCCTACAGGTTTTTGTATATTGCCATTCCTGATATCAGACTTGTGTCCATTTATCCTCTTGCGTAGTGACTGTCCAGTTTGGCCAATGTACATAGCAGAAGGGCATTGATGGCACACGACGGCATATATAACATTGGTGGACATGCAGGTGAATGAGCCGGTGATGTTGTAGCTGATCTGGTTAGGTCCTGTGATGGTGTTGCTGGTGTAGATATGTGGGCAGAGTTGGCATCGAGGTTTGTTGCCAACTTGCCAACCTTAAGCATATTCTCACCAGCAACCACGCACCGCACCATAACAACTCTAACTCAGGAACCAACCCATGCAACAAACCTCGATTTCAAGTGGTCTGAATGCTGGTGTTTCTTATATGTGGCTATTTCATGCCTGCCTACCCTCTTCTACATCCTTCAAGTGGAGATAGGGTGACCAAATAGCAAGTGTGAAAAATCAGGACAGGAGATAATACGCATCTATATAAGACAAAGCCCCATATATGGGGACTGTCCCTATAAAATCAGGACATCTGGTCACCCTAGGTGGAGACTAGCAGAACTTTTGCTTTATCAGTCGCTGAACACTGTTGTACTGGACACCTCCATCATGCACATACGTGAGTACCAAACCAGGTCACCTCCTGTCTATGCTGTGCGGTAAACAGGGTTAATTGTGGAGCGAGGCGGTCTAAATGGCTGCCAAATAGATGAGCAGTTCTCTCCTCTGTATGGATGTCTCCAGGCATGAGTCCACTTATGCAAGCAGTTTAAAGCCTTCTGTGCCAAATATTTGTCCTCTGCAAATCCCTAATAAAGAGCTGATATTGGGCACATTGTGGAGTTCACCTGCTAAGTGGATTTTCTGTGTCTGAACTAAGGGGCTGGTTTTCCTCTCATGGGGGTGGGTGGCCACTCCACTGACGTCATGGGAATTACCCCTGATTTACACTAGTGCAAGGAAGAAAAGCAGCAGGGCCTAATCTGAGATGCCACACTCGAAGTACCAATGTTAATGCAAACCTTAACAGTGCCAGTCACTCCTATAGGTGGAGCCGGCAGCAGAGCCCTCACTGCACATAGCAGACCCTGGTTTTTGTACTTTACAAAATAGGAAGCTTGGAACTAAAACATATAGACACAACACAAAGTGCCACACTCCATAGAAATAAAAGGCCTGGTTCTCCATTCCCTAGCCCCTTGTGCAGCCATTTCCTCTCCCTCCCCCCAGCGCAGAGCGGGTGTGAAATGCTGCCAGGTCAGAAGGATAGCACTGCCATTGATTTTGCACTGGTGGAAATGTCTGCCCGAGGGTGGGGCAATGGATCACGAGGCCATGATCGGCCGAAAACAGCTGTAGCCTTGCAGGACATCTCCATCAAGGGCATGTTTGTAAAAGATGTGCCATGTTGGCCTCTCAGACGTCTGTAAGCCTTGGGCTCTCCCTCACCTTTAAAGGGATGCAAATGGAGTACGTGCAGTCTGTAGATCCCTCCTGCCTATAGCACAGTAGGCTAAGTTTTCTGGGGCGGTGGCTGTGCTCTGTGTTTGCACAATGGTGTCCTGGTCCATGACTGAGGTTCCTAGGGGCTACCATAATACAAGTGATAAATAATAATATTAAAAACAACATAGAGTGCAACAGTATGAAAGACACCGAATGACTGCTTATCCATCCTCCAGTACATGAGCAGATACAGTCAATGTATCCGAAGACAACACTGGGGCCTGATCTGCACTAGAAAATTAAGTTGGTTTAACTCTGTCGGTCAGCGGTGTGAAAAATACACGCCCCTGAGCGCTGTGCTTAAACTGTCCTAAGTCCCCGTGTATACAATGCTAGGTCGACAGAAGCTACTAGCTACTGCCTCTGGGGGAGGTGGATTCCCTACGCCAATGGGAGAACCCTCCCATAGGTAGCATCTATGCTGAAGCGCTGCAGTGGCGCAGCTGTGCTCCTGGAGCATTCTAAGCGCAGACAAGCCCTGGATATTAGAGGATAGTTTTAAAGAGAAAGAGGGAAAGAGAGAAAGCGACTATCGATCTGGGGTTCTTCAATTTTGAGGAGCCCAAGTTGAGACCTCTTTAAAGGGCCTGATTTTTAGAGGGCGGGAGCGCTGCACTTTATGAAAATCAGGCCCTTTCAGGTGTCTCAGGTTGTGCCCCCCAAACCACTAGACGCCTTTGAGAGACAAGGTGGGTGAGGTAATATCTTTTATTGGGCCAGCTTCTGTTGGTGAGAGAGAGAAGCTTTCGAGCCACACAGAGCTCTTCTTCGGGTCTGTGTAGCTCAAAAGCTTGTCTCTCTCACCGACAGAAGTTGGTCTAATAAAAGATATTACCTCACCCAAATATCCTGGGACCAACACGGCTACAGCTACACTGCATAGACAACTTTGACACTTTTTTGGCAATGGGGCCCTCTCGGGGTCTATAAGCACTACGGCAATACAAATAATGTTCTAGAAACAGACAGACAAGCCTGCAGACTTTATGAGTTGATGCCTGTGTAACTTAGAGCCGTTTTCCTTGTCCCATTAATATTTTTGAGAGTTTTAAATTTCTTACCATTCAAAATTGGGACAAAAAGTCCAAATTTCAAAAAATTTCATGAATCAAAGTACCAAAAAGTTTTTAGTTTGGGTCAATTGAAAGATGTAATTTCAAAATTCTTCAATTTGATTTCTACCTTTTTTCTTTTTAAAAAACTTTCAAAATCTAAATCGCTTAAATTTCACAATGAAAAGTCATTTTGAACTGGGAAACAGAATTTTTCATTTAGAAAGTGGCCAAAAAATACATTTTGACAATTTCAGAGTTTTCCAACATATTTTTCCAACATTGTGAGATTGATTGGTTTTGCTGTCGACAAATCAGAATTTTCCAATGAAAAAAAAATGTAATTGAAAAATTCCTAAAGAGCTCTAGTGTTGAGTAATACAGTACATACTGCGAGCTTGAGTGTGGGGAATGTGCCGAGTTTCCAATGAGTGGGCCATGAGAATTTGCAGGGCTCAGCAGCAGAGGACTCTGGGAACGTGACGAAGACCCCGAGGATGTACTTTCCAAATATCTACCTAAAGGACAAAATAAGACAGTCCAGATAATGAAAGCATTTCCCCCCCTTACTCCTTCCCAGCTGTCCCTGCTACATAATCAAGAATTAAAACAGCTTTCATGGTTCTTTACCTGGAGGCAGAAATACCTACCATTGACGTTAATGGTATCAGTATATTTCTAAACTAACAGTATATTTCTCACCACAAATTCCAACCTGTGATTGTGATAATTAACAACAAATACCACCGTGTTACAGTGTCACATGCTTCTTCCCAAAAAGACACAGCGGAGTGCTTCAGCGAGCAAACCACTGAACTAGTAGCCAGGAGACCTGGGTTCTAGTCCGACCTCTGCCACTGACTTCTTGTGTTGGTCACTGAATTGAACAAGCCACTTCACTGCTCTTGCCTCAGTTTCAACAGGTGTAAAATGGGGACAGTGGTACTCACCCTCTTTCTAAAACACTTTGAGGTCCACTGTTGAAAACTGCTTTACAAGAACTAGACGTTATTATAAATTACTAGCACAATATTTTCCTTAGTTGTTGCACATTGAAGGTGGAGTTAAGGGAGCTGGAGAAGTGTTAGATACCAACTAATCCTCTCTTGTTTCACTGAAGGAAATTGTCTCTCTCTCTTTTAGTATCCATGATTGGGCTGACATTTTCTGCACTGTGCCCCTCAAGCAGCCAAGATGCAGTTAAGTATTCAGCGCCCAGAGGGTCAATACTCACTGCCGCCGTGGTGAACAGGAGAACTCCGTGCCGATTCTGTGTTGCTATGAGATCCAAACTTTTCCAGCAGCTCAGAGAACTCTCTCCTGAAAGACAAGGCCCAGCAGATTCACTTAGTCTCTCAGTACACTTCTGCATGGATTTACAATGCAAACAATGCCTATAATGTTTATTCCATACTAACCAGTTTGTGGGATTAATTCCCTCGCGCGCTGGAGATCAGCTTGGGGCAGGGTGAGGCATTAGGAACCAGATACAGCTCACAGGTAGTCCCAATGTAAATCAGAGCAGTTTCCAAGCAACTCAAGCTTGTGCCGCTGATTTAGAATCCATAATCAAACTCACACCAGTAGAAGATTCTTTTGGTAAAGCGGAACTTTTGCATGCCCCATACTGTGTGTTAGGGGGTTGGAGGCAGAGGCCGGCTGCAGTGCAGATGCATCAGCAGTGAATTCCCTACACAGGAGGAATTCTCTGCTTGGCATTTGCAGCTGAATTATGGCCCCTTCTATGCCCCTTTTCATCCCACAGTCTTCAAGCACTTCATGAATGTTAATAAAGCTTCCCGACATCCCTCTCAGGTATTACTCACGCAGTAACACAGACTGGTAAATTGAAGCGCAAAGTAGTTGTGTATTTTGTCCATTGTGAGGGATGAGGATAGAACCCATGAGTCCTGGCACCCAGCCCTGGGCTTTAACCACTGGGTCAGAATGCCTCTTGTGGACTAGCACAGGATAATTCCATCTCCAACCATCAGCCTAATTTGACATACAAGTTGAACACTGACTATTAAGGGGAGTTGTAACTAAGCAAAAAAAAATTTAATACACATTGGCCATCTGTGGGTCTTTTCATAATAGTAAAAGAAATGCAAATAACTGTCAAATATACCAGCTCAAATTGTGAAATTATCATCCTTGGAATTGTGGCTATATTACATGTTTTAATATACCCCCTTGACTACCCTGCTGTAATTCATACATAGAGAGGAGGAAGCTTAAAGCCAACAATTTAACTTAAAAGAACAAGTTGTGAGCACGATACAGATGGTGGGTAACACTTAGGGATTATAGACAGGGCATTAGAATGTGGGGGCCAAAATGTTATGGGATGGGACTCTTCCATTCAGCTTCGGGCACCAAGTTGTTTACCTGCCTATAGTAATAAATGTAGTAAATCCTATTTGTTATGCTCATGGCATACAAACAGAGAAGTGAAATAAACAACTTAAGATACTCTTGACAGAAGGTTGCAGTTGAACTGCTTTATTTTTTAGAATTCAGAACGATAACCCAAAAGCAGAGAGAGACAAAACAGCCTGCTCCCTGAAACAGAGAGGCCCAACTCACCTCACCTTATTCTAGACTGACTGTTTCCCTACAGAGCCCCATGGCCTAAAAGCAGACAGGAATACCCCTCCCCACCTTAAAAGGATAGCTTGCAAGTCTAACACAGTCTTCAAAATGCCACATCGCTCATCAAGCATCAGAAAAATATTCATTATTTTAAAAATTCTCCTATCGCAGTTGCTGCTGCTGGTCTGCTACCTCCCATTTTGCTGTCAAAAGCTCCTCTTTTTGATCACTAGCAAGAACGGCCAATGCAACAGGGGGGAAACCAGAACCTATTCCACAAATGGCACTAAGACTGACATAGTTTTTTAAATGGGAGGATTAGATACCAGGGGAGGAGGTGAAGTGAGACACAACAGAGGGAGAAAGGTGAAGAAAATCAGAGGTGACTTGGACCCAAATATCTCCAGACTTTAGGGGAGTTCTAGCTCAGATCTGGATCCCACATTGTGGCTTGTACCCACTTCTAAAGAAAATAAATACGGACAATGGTGGGAAAAAGGGAGTGGGCCCATTATTCTCCTTTCCTCTCCTTGCCTCTTTCTCCACCAATGGTGTCCCTTCGGCTTGCACAGCTCAGACAGGAGTCTGTTGGTGAGCATCTGGTACTTATGCTGCTGCTGAGGTGTGACAGAATGGATACTTGCCATCAAGTAAGGTGGCATTCCACTCCCCACTTTCACATTAGAGACACCAGGGTACTGCCCAAGGAGGACCAGAAGCTAGTCCCTTTTGAGTCCATCAATGGCACCTGTAATTGTCTAGAGCAGTTGTTACGGAACAATTGTAAGCTCAGGCTATACTCCTGGTAAGTGCTGGCCTGGGAACTGAGATATCAAGCCCAGGAAAGCAGAGCTCTCCACGGGGCCAACCTCAGAGAGATGACAAGCGCACACATCAAGGCAGGTTGATGGGAAAGATACATGGCAGCTGATGAGAGAACAGCATTTTCTCAGGCGGTGGCTCCTTACAACACAGCAGCTATCAGAGTGAGCATCAATTTCCATCAACTCTGTTGGGACAAATCTCACTTTAATATCATTTCCAGTAAAACCCTTCATCTTCCCGTCGCTCGCTTATAATCCCGTATCACTGCTGAGTTATGCCGCGACGAAAGCCAGGCTGCAGCTGAGACTCTGTGAGCCTTCCATTCACTGTCTGCTCCTTTTCCTGACCGGGACTCTTCACTTCCCCTTTAGCTCACTCCTTTACTGCATGGACTAGCAACCCCAGGGCATACCCACGTCCCCAAAAGGCTTGTGCACAGGCAGCTAGCTTACGCTGAAGCCCATATTACCGCGTCTTCACTGCTCTTGTCCCCACACTGGATAGGTTAAAGCTAGCAAGCTACAGTCAGACCTTGGTTTGCTGTGTAGGTGTACCCATTGTCTCTCCCATCCCACGCCTAACTCCATAGCCTAGTGCAGCTAGAGCTACAGGTTTCCTGTGATTTTGGGTTGTTGCATTTAAAACATTCCCATTCTGAACAATCTCAACCTCAGTAGTAACATGGCTGTCACAGGGGAGCTGGTCCTGTGAGTAGACCAGGCCCAGCTCCCCTGTGTCAGAGCAGGTGGGACCAACCGAGCCAATTAAAAGAGGTGGGCTAAAAAGGCTTGTCAGAGGGTAGACTATATCTTGGGCGAGGAACCACAGAGGAGTGGAGCTAAGTCTGGTGGTGGGTCCCTGGAACAAGGGTCCAGCTGCTCAGGGAGGTAGCCCTCAGGCTGGGGTCCCAAAAGGGGAGCAGAGCTGGCTCTGAGAAGGGAGCTGGCTGGAACAGGGAAGCTGCAAGAAGCAGGATTACCAGAGACCCCTGGGAGAGGAGGCTGGGAAACCCTAGGACAAAGGGTGAGCTAAGGAGCTGATTTTGTCTATTAGCTGCTTATGTTTGGACAAATAAACCTTTTTAAAGCAGACTGAGGATGGCAGTGAGTGCTTGTGAAGCTGGGGAGACACCCTGCCAGGTCACAGTGGCCTTGTACACGACTATCGTTACCGATTTGGAATTGGCCAAGTCAGGACACTGGCGCTAAGGCTGGCTCAATGCAATTCCCCATTAGATCTGGGTAAAACACTGAAACTGTGAGCAAATGGTCGGATCTTTACGAAAAATCTCTGAAATCATGTGAGTTTTCACTCAAAAGAGACCATCTTTCAGTGAAAACCAGCAAATGGGTTACTTTCTTTTGTTCCTTTTTTTTTTAAGTTTCCAGCTTTGAAACTTCAAAATGCAAAATGTTATTCTGATGAAGAAGAGTTCAAGAGAGAAGAAGAGAAAGTGAAACAGGTGAACTCTCAAAACTGTATTTGTTGCAGTGCAAAAATCCCATGCGAGAAATGGTGCAAAGCCTTTAAAACCTCTCAAAATGAAACAATGACAGATTCTTCCCTCGGCTCCAACCCCCAAAATATTTTAAGTCAGTTTTGCACCACCTTAATTCTCACAACCGAGGAGGCTTGGTCATAGCTCTAGCAACCAACTCAACAAGCCATTTGCTCAGAAGCCTCTAACTACTGGAGTTATTGACTGAATGGATCGTGTTTCACTGGACACCTGCAGTTATAGGACTGGATTCTGCAAAAAATTATGCATGAGTAACTTCCTCAGGGTAGTAGCTCTATTGTTTTCAATTAAATTTACTCACACACGTGACTATTTGCAGGACTGAGCTGTTTTTTCAGGCTGCCGGGTGAGATCTGGTGAGCAGCCTCCCTTACTTTCTGAATCATGGGTGTTAGGATCTAATGCACTGAATTTTGATCAATGTTGTAATGCGAGTTAATTTCCAGTGATTATTTAGCTAGAAGAAGCTGGTTCACTGTACTCGTCTGTATTTACATATTCCCCTCAACTGTACTTAGAGCCTCAGGGATCCATTTATTGGAAAAAATAATACCATTTCCACAGTAGTTCAATCAATGGAATATGACCAGATGAGCAGATCTCATTATTTTAGCCCTACCCCACAAACAAATTTACGTGCTGGCAAACTATTCGTGACATATAATCCTATTTTTGATTTTAGCCCTTTTTCCAATTAACAAATCCCAAGCTCTGTGAAGATAAGCCATTATGTGCCCAATAGTTTGGATGAATAATTTTCAGCCTGTAAACTGTTTGCAAACCATCCACTCCAACCTGTTGCTATTGGCGTGAGACGACCGAACACCTAAGTCACATGGTATTGTCTGGGCTCCTTGCTCGGAGAACAGATATTGCAGGCCTCAATTCAGCAAAGCATTTAAGCACATGCTTAAAATCCCATTGAGGTAAATAATCAACAGCAAGTAATGCATTTTCTGGTATGACTCTTCAGATAGATGATTTTGTGCTAAACTTCATGACGCTTGGGAGATTTGCAAGTGCACAGATATTGTCCGCATACTGACTAATGAATAATCTGACTCCAGGAATCCAAGCCAACCTCGCTCAGTGCCTTCAGGCACAAATAGGTTAAAATAATATCTATATCTTCAATTTTTTTAGTTTGATTTACTGTTTGACCAGCTCTAGTATGAAAATACTTAATCTTATCAGGTTCTTGTGGAACTTAAATGTCCAGCCTTATTTAACGAACAGAGGGCTGAAATAGGGGGACTTTCCCTTTAATAATGTACTCCCAGCCCAACCCCTCCCCCTCCACCCTAAGGATACTAACATCTAGGCTAACAGAAGTGTCCTTGTTCCAGAGCCCTGAAACTTGTGCAGACCCGTCGCGTGGAGTCCG